GCCAAACTACTATGTATTTAGGCCTAGTGTAGGCCTATAGTGTATAAATCCTAGCTTCTTACCTTTTCCTTAGTATCATGTTAAATTTAAATATAACACCAGGCGGCGGCAGCCGAGGTGTCGGAGGGCGGGGGGAGGGTGCTGTAGACCCCCATGGGACATGTCAAGCCCTCCGACGACCAGAGTTTGTTGGGCAGTCGGACCAAAAAAAAAAGTAGGCCTAATGAAATGAAATGAGTGTTTATTGAGCTGAGTTTATAGATCTTAATTGTACTTTATCAAATACTTAAGAGTATTTTTCCAGTCTGAGAGAGCACCATTTCTGGATATCCAGAGGTCCTATTTGAAAAAAAAAAAATCTCATTAGGATACCCCCTCCCAAACCATCCACACGGCTTGGTCAGAAGGCCCTCAGATGGCAATGCATGCCACAGTTATCCTTATCTCACTCAGCCCCTCCCCAAAAATACATCCTACAGCAGCACTTGCACTTTAGTCCTATCTAAACTACTTTATGTTGACTCTATCATGAACTATTAGCTTACCAGAAAATTTGTTATAACAGCATTTATAGCATACCACTAATTTATTTTTGCAACCTTTCTTATTGACAGTTCTTAACTTTTGTGATCATTATAAATAAGCAATTCAAATTAAAAGTGCAACTATTTGTGAGGAACAGTACATTTTTAATTAAAATAACTAAATCAAATCAGAGTAAGCATACAAACAACAATTATACACATCTAGATGTGTATAAGAGACAGTTTATATACAAATTGTTCTCGTGGTTAAACCAGATATTATTTGAAACTTACCGACGTTAGCAAACTATGTGGAATTCAAATTTGGAAATATTATTTTAATATTAATATTGACCACTAATTAATAATGTTCAGGTTTAACTAACCATATATAAATAATGTAATTAAAATATTATAATCCATATATTATTATTCAAGCCAATGGTTCCGGTGGTGGAACAAGTCTTCTCGGTTAAGGACTTTAAAGCGTAGGCCCGACAT